GTGCTGTTAAACGTGGAAAGTGGTAACTGGACTACCAGATTTAAATTCGTGGGTGGCATGGATATGGATTTTTTCTTTTCTACTAAGATTAGTTAGATTTTTCCTCACTTGATTTCTATCTTTCCCATAAAATTCTATTTTATTTCCATTACCTTATTTTCGATGCTTACCTAAGGACCACTTGAGTGCTGTTGTAACAGCTTCACATGTTTTGTTTGATTTATGTTAATCTGATTCCAACTTCAGATTAAAGGGCAATTAAAGAGGTGCAACGTGTGGTGCGGGTATCACACGTCGGGCGGACGTTTCGCACATCTTCGTCAATTCATACCGTGATTATTGATGGCATGACTGACCTGTCTGATAGGCTTCTTGATCTAGAGACTTTCTCTTATAGCTTTGGACTTCCATCTCTAAATTATGTATGTCCTTTTTGACTTGGCTCGCTGGGGGAGTTTTATCGACCATATGATGGCTTAGATGACTCCCAGAAAAACCCAGGCAGGTATTGCAACGAAAGCATATGGTTATGCTGACGTACGGGAAAGATTTTCGTCTCCTCAGACAGATGGTACATTGGTGTCATGACGGGGCATCCTGTCGCAGTTATCAGGGCAGCATGTTCTTCACTGCGTAGCCCGCAAAGCTGACCACAGACCGATTTATCGTGTCATAAAAAGTCAACATGGTCTGATTGTCTGCATTCCAAGTGCTGCTGGCTAACGACTTGAGGACCTTTTGGGCGTAGTCCGTGTTTGTGGTTGGCAACTGGATAGCTACCGCTGATATTGGGGTGGAGTAAAGAGTCTTTGCTACTGGCGACAAGAGCGAAATTGGCCTGTATGATTTGTCTGGCTTCAGTAGCGGGACCACCCTTCCGAATTTCCAGGCTTCGGGAACGATGTGGGCGAGTAGCGATCGGTTGAGAACTTTTGTCAAGTATTCAACTCCCGTCGTATTCATGACCACTAGTGTGTGAAATGTTAAATGCGACATTGTGTCTGATAAATGCAATCTTCTGGCAACCTGAAATTTCTATTAGCTTAGATCAACTTTCCATAATAGTATGCATCAGAGGGCTGCAATGAGTATGATTGAGTAGGCTTGATCACACACAGTGGAAATACAATCAAACTCAATCAGTCGGTCAGATGCAACACGTTCATTCGAGTTACTCAAGCCAAACGAAAAAGTTGTGATCAAACATGTATTGATCGAAGTTTTGTGATCGCAATCAAACAGCTCACATGAGTTATTTGTTTACGAACTTATGTTGAATTCTTCATAACGGGTCGATCATCTATGATGAGTCTGATCGGTTTTATTTATCCTAGTTAAGTGAGTGATTTGATTTGTATAAAACACGAATGTTCGAATTTGAGCGAAATAATGATTGTAATATTACTAAGGATTTCATAACTAAAAGATGTCCCCCATTAAAGAAATTGGTACAAATTATATTTAATAAGCATACAATTTTTCATTATATTTGGGTTTTTGGGTATGCCAGACTTCAGTAACTTATTTCAAAAAAAAAAAAAAAAAAACAAAATTAATTTTTTTAATAAAGAAACACATCATTGGTATTTAGAAAACTAAAAATGTTTAAATTTTTTTTTTTTACAATATTGGTCAAGATTTTTCACAAACTTCGACCTTTTCGTTTACCTACACCTGTGTAGTTTCTACTTGCAACAATTTCGGTCGCACTATGACAATATTCTTCCATTTCAAATATTAAACAAGTCAAAATAAACTGTCCCAACTTGATTAAATGGTTGAATAAACAATGACGCTGAGCGAACTCGATTCAAAGAAGACAATCACGGTTGAGATTGCTCATTTACATTCATGTGTTCGATCAACTCATGTTGCTGAACACATCAAACCGTCTCGAACGCTCATGTTTGATTGTGAGTGAAGTGATTCAAACTGAGCGTTCGATTCGATCCGAAGCGAAAACGGTCATTTCATTCAGATCAAACTAAACGACTGCATCAACAAAAATCATGTAAGAAACCGAGTATGCTTGAATTTTTGCATACTCGTTGCAGCCCTCTGGTATGCATCAATAGATCTTTCAACATCATAAAGACTGAGAACCGAATTCAGTCTAGAAGCAAGTACATCAATTTTGGTGAAAATCGGCTTAGATATAGCTATAGCTCCCATATACAGAGTGAGATGAAAAAAACTACAACCAACTGCAGACTGCTCTCATTTCTAAGCCACTCGTCCGACACTTGTTATATTGTTGACAGTGACATGTCATTATATTGCTTACAAGCGTACAAAAGCATTTTGGTGACAATTTTCCAGAAAAAAGTCATTCGTGATGGAAATCAAGCGTGATAGTGTGATTTCTTTATATTTGGCTAGAAAACCACAAGAGGCTATCGTTAGAGCACTCTAGCATTTAAATGTGAATAAATCTTTTTTGTATCTTACCATCGCTTGTTACCATGATACTGGTAGCGTAGCCCGACGTCAAGGAAGTGGATGGTAGAAAACAGCAACATCAGCAGAAATGGTTCGAAAAGTTGATCGAAACCCGCGTCGCAGTGCCCGAAAAATGGCAATATTTCATTCGGCAAATATTTAAAAATGAGATCAATATGATAACGGTCCACGATTATATAACGGTACGCCTCATATTCGGTATTTTGATGATTTAGCTACATTTTTCAATGGAATTGTCTGAAACTCTACACAAGGAGTTCCTTTATGAGTACTTTATACCCTAGAAGAGAATTGTCTATATAGGGCCATGATATCTTGTATCCCCCATATAACGGTACCCCCGATATTAGGTGTTTTGATGATTTCAGCCAAATATTTCAATGGAATTGTCTTAAAATCCACAAAAGGACTTATTTGTGAGTACATTACCGCCTGGAAGAGCATTGTCTTTATAGGTCCATAATATCATATATCCCCTATATAACGGTTCCTCCCTAAGTTCGGTAATGTGTCGACTTTTAGCCACACTTTTCAACGAAATTGTTTGAAAACCCACACAATTAGTTCCTTGTGAGTACTTTATTTCGTAGAAAATGAATTGTCTATATAGGTCCACGATATCGTATGGCCCCATATAACGGTACCTCCAATATTCGGTATTTTAATTATATCATCCAAATTTTTCAATGGATTTGTCTTAAATTGGTTCCTTCTGAGTACTTTAGCCACTAGAAGAGAATTGCCTACATAGGTCCACGTTTTAGTATATCGCCCATATAATGGTACCCCGTTCGGCATTTTCATGCTTTTTGCGACATTATACACCAAAATTGTTTCACATTTCGTATTTGAAGTTCGGAACCATTACTAGAGCCTATGACAAAAAATATTTATGCAAGACCATGTCATCGTATAGCCCCCATATAACGGTTTTCATTTGAGCGGTATTTATACCCTACAACACTATGTGTTGGGGGTATTATAAATTTGATTGGGCCGAAAATTATGTAACACCTCGAAATATTGGTTTCCCACATAGGAAAGTATATATGGATTTTCCTATCTCGCCGAGCTGAGTCGATCTAGCTATGTATGTCCGTCTGTCCGTCTGTCCATGTTAATTTGTAATCAAGCTACAGGTCGCAATTATGACCCGATCCTCACTAAATTGAAAATGGAGGTGGGGTTATGGTCAGAATAGAACCCTATTGTTTTTGGAGATGAGCGCACGATATTTAGGGGTTGAAATGGACCAAAAACACGAAAATTTCTTGATTTTGCAGTTGCTCTATAGGCCACAATTATGAGTTAGAGTTTAGAAGTGGGCAGAAACCTACCAATTTGGGCGGCCATCGGACAATAATTAGCGGGTAAAATAGACCCTAACTTTTATGTAAGAAAATAGGAAAATGTCCACTAAATCGCGAATATTTTCAATCCAGCCAAATCACAAACACATTAAAAGATAACTTCTGACCATTACAGTGATGTTAATAGTCAAGAAATCGGATATATAGCAAAATAAATACAATATATATGTAAAATAATTTATCTTATTTATTCTGCTTATAAATCAAGAACCGCTGGGCCGATTTTCACAATTCCCATCAATTCGGAATAGTATCTTGCCAGAAAACGATAAAATGTAAGAAAAACGCGGAAAAATATACCAATAAAAAAGTGAATATATTTAGTCGATTTTTTTTTCAATTTTTGTCATATTTTTTATCGCATGCGATTTTTTCAATTTGACTTACAATTTTGAATTGTAAATTTTCTAAATTTTTACACTCCCCAACACTACGTTTGCGATCCTCACAAAATTTTGCATAGGGGCAGGGTTAGGGTCAGAATTAAAACCTATTGTTCTTAGGATGTAAATTTAGAGGTGCAAATGGACTAAAAATAAATTTATTTTTTCTAATTTTGTAATCGCTCTATAGGCCACACTTGAAAATTAATCGACACGGAATTTCGCATCAGAAGAGAGTAAAATGGACCACAACTTTCGTGTGAAATTTTTTTGAATACTTACAAAACAACAGAGTGCGTAAATATTGGCCATATTTTCCAGGCCAAAAAACTAAGGGTAACCTTTGGGCGGGGCTCTTTAACATAATTTCAAAAATGAAATCTTCCAAAATGGATTTGGATATAAGGGGACTTCGAACATATTGTAGTGTTGTAGGGTATCACATGGTCGGCCCCGCACAGTGAAAATCGATTCAGAATTGGATATACCTCCCATATATTAGTTCCCTCTGAAACCAAATTATAACTGCTCTGAAGCCAAAGGTGTTTGATGTTTGAAAACCTACCACTGTATTGAAACAACATTGTATAGTTTTTATAACAGTGTAAAGTTTTTGTTGCTCTGTGTTATTAAGCCGGCATTATTTAAACGCCACTCAATTAAAAAAAAAAACAATATTTGTTTATTCCTCCACAGAGCTTTACTAATGCAAACACCAAACGTCTTACTACTATTCAATGTGGACAGACAACAAACTCGAACAACATACATATTAAACGATTCCAAGTAAAATGTTAATAAACGGGTTTTATTATTCAAAAAAAACATACATCAAGTTGTTGGTGAACAAAAAAAAAAAAAAAAAAAAAAAAAACACGTAGAGAATGCCCTTCATTGGAAAGATGATCGGCAATTTGTCACCACAGCTTAGCATCTACCCCACATCCGATTAGGCACGCACACATTTGGGTCTCTTGGTGGAACGATCCGATTCACATTTTTCAAAAGAGCTGCATTTGACATTACCGCAGTACGAACCACTGGAGCCGGCTGTAGGGAAAGAGTGCGAAACAAATAAAAAACATCAGTGAAATATGAGCGACGCAATTTTAACCTCAGGGTCAACACCACTTACAGTTCTTGCTGGAGAATGGCGAAGTGTCACGGCTGCCAGAATTACTTAAGAGATTTGGTTGGACACAAGAGCGTCCATTGCACAGATTGGGACAACATTTACCGCCAATGGCACTGCATTCCGAGTCGTGTAAACATTTGGGGGTACATGTCTGCACCTTGGTCGACGAAGGACAATCTACAGCAAAAGTACAGAAGTGGCGAAAAAACGGTCAATGGTTTGAGAACAAGGCCAAACATTTAAGGCCCCCGGTTAAACTTACCGCCAGCAGCCAAGGACATAACCACCAAACTCAAAGCAAATAGAGTGAAAATAAGTGTTTTGTTTGCTGTAAAGAGATCCAAAGTTATTAAATACTGTATTTGTGACATTACTTGAAAAAGGACAAACAAACAAACAAACCCATTTTGTTTTAGTTCAGATAGAGCACACTTGCAGTTGTTTACACGTTCAATATTTAAATCAAACTGAGCTTAATTGTTTTGAGCAGCCAAAGGCCAAGCGGTAGACAGACGCTTTGCTTTGTATGTGTTGAGCTTCGTGAGTTTTGTTTTTTTTTGTTTTGTTTAATAAGAAGAGAAAAGATGATCACATCGCAAATGCAGAGTTGCCAGATTATGCACAGCTGACTTTCATGAAACCGTTATGTTTTGTTAATGTTGTTCGCTATGTCATAAGAAGATAATTATGTTTTTATAGCCTGAATTGGGAGATATGGAGTTGAACCCTATTTGGTTTCACTGGAGCTCTCAGAAAGTAATTGATGGACAATTCACTCAGGAAACGCAGCCATTTTGTTGGTATTCAAATAGCCAAAAATTATTAAATCCGCTGGATTTAAATTTTAACGTGATATTAAATAAATAAAAAATAATAATATAATAATAATTTGTTGTTGCAAAATGGTCAGGCTTTGTTGTTTTTATAAAAACAACGTTTGTTTATTAGTGGAGAAATATGGTAATGTTTACCAGGGGGTAAGGCAGGCTATTAATAGACAAGACACGGTCGACGAAGGGGTTTTTGTTGTAACAGACAAAACCAACTTACATGGTTATGCTACTTCGTTCAGGTTTAACGGAAGCAAAACAAGTGGAGAAAGATGTAAATGTTTAAAAGTGTGGTTGTAAGATTTAGAAGACTTTCCAAAAGAATTTTAGTTTTATTTAATTTATTGGTTCCTCTTCTATTTAGCTTACGATCTCGTCACTTGGGTAAAAAATGTTTTTTGTCATAGAAGTTATTTTTAAAATCACTTCTGGGGAGAACATCCCAGACAAAAAACAAGGGAACTGATGCGGATTGGTGGCTCTTTCCGAAACCTAGATATTTCCTGCCTTACCTCCTGGTAAACATTACCATCGTTCTCCACTAATAAACAAACGTTGTTTTTATAAAAACAACAGTAAAGGGGTAAAGCCTGACCATTTTGCAATAATAAAAATATAATACTATTTTTAAATCCGCTGAATATTTTATTATATGAAAACAAATCTTAATTGTTTATTCAGCTTTCCCACTTTTTATAAGCTATACCACATAGTGGTGAGGGTATTAGGTCTTTGTGCATTTGTTTGTAATATGGAGAAGGAAGCGAGATAGACCCATAGTTACTTTTAAGGATCTTCATAGAACAACTTTCTGAGTCGATTCATGCATGTCCTACCGTTCGTCTGTCAGAAGAAATTTTCCAAAAAATATTTGTTTGCCCAAGGACGAACCCTATTGAAATTTGTGATGAACGGATCCGATTAAGATATAGCTCCCATATATATCCTCAGCCGATTTCGGCTTAATTGTGCGCTAAAAAGCCAATATCAATCCAAATGACCTGAATTTTGGCATATATGGCATAATATGGATCCGAAAACAATGATATTTGGTACCAGATATCTTATAAAGCTCGGAAATACCTTTGCCAAATTTTATCGAGAACTGCTAAGATTTGGATATAGCTCCCATATATATCCTTAATCCGATTTCAGGTTTATTGCGCAAATAATGGCTAATATCAGCCCAAATGGAGTGAATTTCGAGACGTACGTTTCCATTTTGTGCAACTCGGCTCCGATATATATTTTTATACCCTACAACACTATGTGATGGGAGTATTATAAGTTTGATTGGGCCAAAAATTATGTAACACCTCGAAATATTGGTTTCCCGCATAGGAAAGTATATATGGATCTTCCTAGATGAGTCGATCTAGCTATGTATGTCCGTCCGACCGTCTGTCCATGTTAATTTGTAATCAAGCTACAGGTCGCAATTATGAAGCGATTCTCGCGAAATTGAAAATGGAGGTGGGGTTAGGGTCACAATAGAACCCTATTGTTTTTGGAGATGATCGCAAGATATTTAGGGGTTGAAAACAGAAAAATTTCCTGATTTTGCAGTTGCTCTATAGCTATAATATATATATATAATAAAAAGTTATATCTTTTGTTCCATTTTATTCCATTTTTGTCATATTTTTTATCGCGTGCGATTTTTTTCAATTTGACTTACAATTTTAAATTGTAAAAATTTCTAAATTACACTACGTTTTGTCGCAATTATCGTCCGATCCTCACGAAATTTTGCATGGGGGTAGGATCGGAATTGAAGCCTATCGTTCTTAGTATGTACATTTGGAGGCTAAGTATGTACATTAAATGGCTAACAAATTAAATATTTTAATTTTTGTATTGTGGCCTATAGCACAATTGAAAACTAATCGACACGGAATTTCGCATCGGAAGAGAATTGAGGACAGGGAAGAAGTCTAGCATTTTGGATGATCATTGGATTATATTTATCTGTAAAATAGACCAAAACTTTCGTGTGCAACTTCGTCCGCTTGAATACCCTTTGAATGAAACCTTTATATAGGAGTTATACGAAGACGTGGATCTGCAAACACAATTTTCTGTCATAGGTTGTAGTACGCACTACGAACAAAAAATACAACATTTTAAACAAATCCGGTGAATAATGTCGCTTTAATAATATACGAAAACGTGGACTGGCGAAGACGTGGTCCTGCATAAGCAATTGTTTGTCCCAGGCTCTAGACTCTAGTACCGATTCCTAACTTCAAATATTACAACACTAAAATCATCAAAATATCGAATATCGGGAGGTATCGTCATATGGGGCTATACGAAGAGGTGGACCACCTGCATAGAAAATTAGCTGTACGACCAAAAATTCTCTTAAGAAGTTCTCTTTCACTTTTTTGTCCATCAAGGCTTTTACATTTTCTTAGATATAAATCGACCAAATCGACATGATCAACCTAGTGACTACTTCATGAATTCTTAGTAAAATAAAAATTCTCATTTATAAGTAGAGGTTAATTGAATCGACCTAAACACACACATACTCAATGTTGTAGGCGTCATTTTCGTGTTCTCATCTTGCCGAAGGTCTACAAAACAGGTTTGTTTAATTTCAGTTTTAACAAAATAGAAAATAAAAAAAAAAAAAACAGAGAAACACCAACAACATACATCATGAAACTGGCTTTGCGATCACAAATTTAATTCAATATTCATAACAAACGTGCTGAGCGTTTTTTGTTCAGCTAAACTGTAAATAATTATTATTAAATTTATAGATTACACTGGCAAGGATCGGTGATAACCGGAGCATGTCACTCCTACGAAGCCTAAAGCCAACATTTGCTTGCTTCGTGTGTGTGTGTGTGTGTGTATGTGTTAGTTTGTGTATTATCAGTAGTAGAAGCAAGTGGATATAAGTGTTGGATGCTTGGCCTTTGAATTTGAATTTTTGAAATCTTTATTTCGTTCCACAAATGGGCGATGTCGGTAACACACCTACTTTATATTTGCACTTGACTTGAAATCTAAACAAACAACCTGTGCCACATTGAAATTGACATCTTGTGTGGCAGATATGATATGCTTTCTATTAATTAACTTTAGATAAAGCGAACGTGATTTTAGATGGGTTCGTGTGGCCTCTAGAAAATGTTTGAAAATGTCTTAATAAAAATAAACTGTTGTGATTTGATATGTGGAATCCTGTAAAATGTTTGGGATAATGTGAATAGATATTCTAATGAAAAATCGTGCAACATAACCTACAGGGTGAGATAAAAAAACCTGCAATAAAGTCAAACGCTCTAATTTTTATTTTTTTTAAATTTTATGAATGAAAGCAAAAAATAGAAATAGCATCAAATTTTAGAATAAGTCTAGATTTGTTCGAATTGGTCACCTTTGGCACGAATTATGGCCTTCAAACGGCCAATGAAACCATCACATGCTGCCCGAATGTTTCTCTGCGGTATTTTGGCCCATTCCCGGCGAAGCGCTTGCTTTAGGTGATCGACACTTTGGTATTTTTATACCCTGCACCATAGTATGGAGGGTATATTAAGTTTGTCATTCCGTTTGTAACACCTCGAAATATACATTTTAGACCCCCCAAAGTATATATATTCTTGATCAGCATAAAATTCTATGTCGATTTATCAATGTCCTTCCGTCTGTCCGTCTGTCCGTCTGTGGAAATCACTCTAGCTTCCGAACGAAATGAATTAGGTTGATAAAATTGTACTCAAATGTGTACTATGTCTGCAGGACTTTTGGTATTGAAAATGGGCCATGTAGGTTCACGTCTTCGTATAGCCCCCATATAAAGGTACCTCCCGATATGCGGTATTTTGATGATTCTAGCGACATTTGTTACTGGAATTGTTTCAAAATTAATATTTAAAGTTCATAATAGATGCTACGGCTTAAGACAGAAAATGGGCTATGTAGGTCCATGTCTTCGTATAGCCCCCATATAACGGTACCTCCCGATATTCGGTATTTTGATGATTTTAGCGAGATTATTTACCGGAATTGTTTCAAATTTGGTATTTGACGTTTTAAATAGATACTACAGCATAAAACAGAAAATGGGTCATATAGGTCCACGTCTTCGTATAGCCCCCATATAACGGTACCTCCCGATATTCGGTATTTTGATGATTTTAGCGAGATTATTTACCGGAATTGTTTCAGTTTTAGTATTTGAAGTTCGTAATGAATACTACATCCTAAGACAAAAAATGAGTCATGTAGGTCCACGTCTTCGTATAGCCCCCATATAACGGTACCTCCCGATATTCGGTATTTTGATGATTTTTGCGGCATTATTTACCGGAATTGTTTCACATTTTGCATTTGAAGTTCATAATGGATGCCACATTTTGCATTTGAAGTTCATAATGGATGCTACAGCCCATCACAGAAAGTTGACTGTGCAGGTCCACGCCTTCTTATAGCCCCCATATAACTGTACCCCCGATCTTCGGTATTTTCATGATTTTAGCGACATTATTTACCGGAATTGTTTCAACTTTCGCATTTGAAGTTCGTAATGAATACTACAGCCTATGACGTAAAATTGTCTGTGCAGGTCCACGTCTTCATATAGCCCCCATCTAACGGTATCCCCCGATATTCGGTATTTTAATGATTTTAGCGACATTATTTACCGGAATTGTTTCAAATTTCGCATTTGAAGTTCGTGAAGTTCGATATTAAAG